CTAGCATTTCCTTGTATTCTAGTGTTTCGGTTCCCTGATTATCTGCCTGTTTCCGGTTTCCCGTTTGCCTTATCCCTGCACGGTTTTGATGTTTGTTTGGACTGCTTACCTGGTTGTGACCCCTGCCTGTTTCCTTGTACCTGTCTCTGGATTCTCCTCATAATAAAGCCTGCATTTGGATCACCTCTGTCCTTGTTCCACGTGCAGTTCATGACACCAGCATACATCTGACACTTTTCACACAAATGAAGGCCTGGTTCTAGAGCACAAATGCAATGTAGAACAGACATGCTCACTCACACACAGACACGGACGCACAAACACATTCACATAGGTGTGATTGCAGCAGAAAACTTTTAGCAAATGTAGCTAATTAAATCAGCCAAAAATGCAGAACACGGGTATGAAGGAGTGAGACCTAATGCATACACAACTTCGAGAAAGTTTACGCTGAGATGTACACTGTTAGCTGGATATCTTTATATCTAATAAAGAATTTAATTACAATTTAATTAAATGATTTAAGTTTGATTGCATTACTATTGAAATATAAGCAGATTCTACTATTGGTGTACTATTGGTATAAAATGTTTTAAGGTATAAAATGAACAAAAGTTTATTCTATGCCAGCACTATGGCAGAATGGTAGCCTACACTCTTCAGGAGACCCTGGATTATCTGCTTGAAAATTAACTGGACGAACAAGGTATGCATGTTCTCGTGCAGAGGATATAAAGTAAACTTTTTTATTATTTTTTCCATCGACAATCCAAAATATCACGGTTGAGACGACAAATATGTAAGGTAACCATGCATGGTGATGACTGGAGAGCTGTGGACTGGACAGACATTGAAGCATTTATTGGTGTGCACTTTCTTGCGGGAGTTTATCTGTCAAACAATGAGGCCCTGTCCAGTTTGTGGGAAGATTGGACGTGCAATTTTTCGGGCTGTCATATCGCTACAAAGATTCAGCAAGATTCAACTGACAAGCTGGCAGCAATTTGTGATGTCTGGAATCAATGGGTTAAGCATCTCCCACTAATGTTCAACCCTGGTGAAAGCCTGGTGCCATTTAGAGGTGCATTCAAGCAGTTCATGCCCAGTAAGCTGGCTGAATATGGAATCAAAATCTGGGCAGCATGTGATGCCAAGACAAGATACGCATAGAACATGCAGGTGTACACCGATAAGCCTCAAGGTGGACAGCCAGAAAAAAAATCAAGGCATGCGTGTGGTCCTTGATTTGACCACTGGTCTCCAAGGGCACACAAACAACTTCATGTAATGCCCTTGGCCAGGAGCCATGGGTAGAGGGTGAACCAAATCTAGATGTGATTCCTTCTTAAAAAATAGGAGGAATCAACTTAAGAACTTTAAAAAAATAATAATAATTAAATAGAATAGAATGTTATGAAATAGTTACATGTTGCCCATCAACAATCTCCACATCCCAGAATAAACACTCTTGTTATTAAAGTGGTTATGTTCACAAACTACTATAATTTGAACAGGCAAGCATATGCGTGATTTGGCATGGCAGGCAGTTCGAATAATAAATAGCCTAATAGCCTTACCTAATGCAGGAAAAACATATGTAGGAGGCGTGCATACAAGCGCTCCCTTTATAATCACTAAGCTGTCACTTTTCTTAATTCATCGCAATCTCACAAAGTTCTACAAATCGATTAAGCTGACGGTACAATAAACATCTTATTTAGTCTACAAAATGTCTAAATTTTTTTGTTGATGAATAAAAAAATATTTAGATATATAGATATGTTTTATTTTAGTATATCTAAAATATCATTTGATCAAATCAATCATATTTTAAGAAATCATATCATTTGATGTGTTTATCATTATTATCATTTGAAAAGTATGTTCAGTGCTTTTCTCCTAGAAGTTTCTGATAGACAGACCACAGTAGAGCGAATGTTTCAGTTAAAGTGATAAAATATGTTATCTTGGCTAAACATCTTGCAGAAGGGACATGGTGTATAGCAGTTTCCTAGGGTGCGAAACCATAAAATTCAAATATGTTTCATCTATGTCTTGTGGGGCTAGGGTTGTTGATACTATGAAAAGAGGAACTTGGCTCTGTTCCACTGAGCAACAAAAAGGGTTCAGTTCACTTACTTAAAGGACAAGTTCGGTATATTACTCTTAAAACCATGTTTTAAGATCGTTTCTGATGAAATAGAACGGTTAAGATTGAAATGGTGATTAAGATTTCTGTGGTAGAAATTTCTGTGTTTGGTGCTTGCCAAAGGCGAGGATTTTGCAGAAATGTGTGGTTTACCACATTTAAAGAGGCTGGCAGGCTCTGTAAGAACGTACCTCACAATGGGGTAAAAGTTGCACTCCTGGGGGGCAAGAGCTGCCCAAAGTTTTCCCATAGACATACTATGGCGAAGGAAACACCCATGAAACGCACGTTTTTCCTATGGTGAATTGTATAGGGATTTTGTATTGAACATAACTCTGGATCAAGTGTCATAGAGACAGGGGGGTGGGCTCATTTTACTCAGACAACCAATCAGTCTCTCAGCATCATTGTGAAGCTATCAAGCCACGCCCTAGCAAACCATTTACAGCACCATAGCAACAAGTTGTAAATGCACCACCAACTCCCCTACCAGTTACTTTCAGACGAAACCTGCGCTCACTTTCTCCGTCCCATATTTCCTCTTCTGTGTCATCTTCTCTTCCCACCCCCTCACAATTGCACTGGCTACCTGTCGCTGCTCGTATCAAGTTCAAGGCATTGAACTCGTGGTACCATCACAGAGAGTCACAAAATCACTCTCCAGAACATTCTCATTCACGGTTCCCTGCGGGTGGAATGATCTGGCCACCCTCATCCGGAATGCAGAATCCCTGACAGGATTCAAAAGACAACTGAAAACTCATCTCTTCTGTGAGCACTTAACATAAAAAAAATATTTAAAAAAACTTTCTTTCCTTTTCCTTTAAATCCTCGCTTGTCTGGCTTATGCTTTGTATTTTGAGCACTTCTTGCGGTGTTTTTGCTTCTTCACGATGACTCGCTTGGTTTAGTCCTCAGTTGTAAGTCGCTTTGGATAAAAGCGTCTGCTAAATGTAAATGTATGTAAATGTAAGTTCCATAGACTTCCATTGAAAAAGATCAAAGGCGAGGGTGGGCTCGTTTGACTCTGGGCAGCAAACAGCCAATTATGAATCTCCTTCAACACTTCCTAGCCACGCCCTAGCAACCACTGTCGTATGGGGGTTGGTTCTTTTGACTCATGCTAGCAAACAGGACATGCAAATCATACTATCAACATGTTAATCATGCGAGCATCATGTTAGAAACATGCTAATCATGCTAGCATCATGTTAGAAACATGCTAATCTTGCTAGCATCATGGTAGCAACATACTAATCATGTTAGCGTCATGCTAATAACATGTTACCGTAAAACTTTAAATAATAGCCGAGTCCCAAATAGACGCCTGTCTCTTTTACACGCCTGGTGTGGCTGCAGGTTTGGGTAAATAAAGGCCGGTCTCAAATAGAGGCCCGGTCTGTTTTTTAGTTTCGGGTTGTAGGCTATTTAATCTAATAAAACCCATCTAATCGTCCGCTTTTTGGCGGTCGCCAAAGCAAATTTTGGTCCCGCCAAAGCCTTTTTTGATCGGTGAGTGATGTAGAATAGAATGACTGCTGCGCTTGACAGGGCGCATAACGAGCAGAGAGAGAGAGAGAGAGAGAGCGCCCCGGCCGTGCGCGCACACTCACGTCTTCAAACAACACGAGCGCTGTCTTGCTCTCTCTCCCTCGCGCATATTAATCCAAATCAATTGACGCGATAGTAAAAGGTCGGAAGACCGCCGTTTCACGTGGAGCATTTGGAGATTTTTAGAGATTAGAGACTCTGGGCCTACACTCAATGAACAACATCTCAACACTAAATTATAAAGGCCTGTCTCATATAGACGCCTGTCTCAAATACAAGTCGGTGCAGTTCGATGATTTGGGAAAATAAAAGCCCGGGCTATTATTTGAAGTTTTACGGTAATCACGTTAGCATCATGCTAGCAACATGCTAATTGTGTTAGCATCTTGCTAAAAACATGCAAACAACATGCTAATTGTGTAAGCATCTTGCAAAAAACATGCTAGTAACATGTTAACTACACGTTAGCAACATGCTAATCATGCTAGCAACATGCTAATCATGCTATCAAAATGTAACAACATGCTTATGCTAGCGTATGCCTTTTAATTTTTGCCTGCTAAAATCATGCTACCAACATGCTAATCATTTTAACATTATGCTAGCAACGTTAATCGTATTAACATGTGCCCAGTGCCGAGTTTTGCCACTGCAAGCACCACTCACAACTGTATATGGTTGAGTCAGATATTTAATTACGCAAATGCTTTTTTTGTCTCTAGTCAATGTGTTGAAAATGTACTCTGTTAAAAAATAATTATTTAAATTCAAATAAATTAATTTGAAGAAATTAACCCAGTGTAAATTCAGGAATGGTTCCAGACAGAAATGCTGCAAAGATTCAAGGTTCAGAAATAATTTCCTTTTCCTCATCAAATTTCTAACCCCAGGCAACTCCACTGAAGTGAGAGCGAGAGAGCGAGAGAGAGCGAGAGAGAGAGAGAGAGCTAGAGAGGTCACTTCTCCTAAGTGGACTAAAGTTCTTCTGATTGTTCTGGGTTTCTCTCTTGGTTTTGCTCTCGGAGGTCTCTGCACTCTCTGGGTGATTTGTAAGTATAATAACTGATACCAGATCTCTACTCTGTTCAGGGTTGTTACTGTAAGTACTTTTACTAAAACACAATGTTGGACAGTAGCATCATTGACACTCGCAAAACAATTTATAGTAGAATCATAAGTAAAATAAAAGTAAAATCATACTTTTCAGCAAGCTATTTTATTAGGCAATATTGTCAAACAAACCTCCATATTTAAGGTGTAAAATGTCATTGATTAAGCCTGAAGATTTCATTTACAAATATTTACAAAATGGTTTGTAGATCGTTTCAGTCTTAAGTGTGCATTTATGTGGACTTTCCTCAAAAACACATTTTCCACTGCTGCTTTTGTCTTTAATCAGATAGTCATAAGCTTGCTGATTTCGAATCACTGAATGAGAAGCACATCATGGTTTCAAAGACACTGGCGGCTCAAGAGATCAACAGCACAGGTGAGAAAACTGTATTTCATAAAACGGTAGAGCACAGACATGTTTCATTAACAGTGTTGAATGTTCATTGAACTCACCATGTCAGAAACGTTATCTGCTTGTTGTCCCATATTCTCCTAGTTATGATAAGAGCATTAGAGGAACTTAAAACCAACTACACCAGAGTAAAGGCCTGTTCACACCGGGACGAATTTCGCGCGCGTTATTCGCCGACGTTTAACGCCTTGTGACTAAACAAAGGGCGCCAATGTGAGTGTGCACACCGACGCGAAAAACGCCACGCGTAAAAGCGTCATTTTTTTAAAAACGCCTCGGACCAATGAGATTGGCGCTTTTGCTCACGTGTCTGGAACTTCTGAAGTTACAGTAAAACACAACTTGGGGGCGCTCAAACACAAAACGGTCTTGCCGAGCACACAAACGTAACGGCGAAGATGATGCGCCAAGTAGCGTCTACACCATAGATATCCATAATAAAGGCTAGATGTCTCGTCCGCGCTGCTGGCCAATGGCCTTTATAATGGATATCTATGGTCTACACTGCCGGGAAGAAATAAGACGAGGAAGATGCAAGGCAAGATGAATGTAGAGCTGCTGGTCTCGTTGGTGTCGGAACAAAAGAACTATATGACAAACGCGACAGCGACTACAAAATATAATAGGACTATTTCTGTTTTACATTAAGCGCCATCTAATGTCAGGGAATGAATTTGCATGTTCACTCGGCTCAACGTCAGCGAAAATCGCTTGGGTGTGAACACAAAAAACGCGTTGAAAAACGCTGGCGAATAACGCGCGCCGATATTCGTCCCGGTGTGTACGAGCCTTAAGAGAACAGTTTCTGCTTCATGTTGGTGAGTTGGTTTTTATTTGACATTTTTATTAAATTTTTTAGCCTCATTTTGTGTTCGGGTCATTTTGACCCAGAGAGGATTATTACCGTACCTGGAAATGTTAATTTTATTGCATTGAACTAAAATTGACTGACTTTACTCACCCAAAGTCTAACAACTTCCCCCCCAAAAAATTTATACATTTTGTACAAAATGGCACAAAAGTCACACTTGTGGTGTTTCTGGTCAAAAATGACCAGCCTACAAAAAATAGCTTATAAATCTCTTGTTATGCTATTTTATCAACAAATATTTTAGTCGAGTCCCAAAATAGATAAATAGCCCTGGATAGGATGCAGTAGGCATTTTGAGGAAAAGTACTTCAAGTGTTGTTTCTATATGATTTTTAGGTGCTGATTCCATTTCTGCCGTATAACAAGTTGTAAACATCACTGTTTTGGCATAAACACTAAAAACAAAATGGCTGCCAAAAAAAACAGTTTTAATGCATTTATTGCAGTTTAAACATTAAACATTAGAACTAAACTGTGCATTCTCAGAACATTTAAATTAGTGCAGGTTATGTCATTTCTTTAAATTAGTACAGGTTATGTCATTTAAATTATGACAAAAAGATTGAATCCAATATTTGGCGATAAAATAGCATAACGAGATTTATAAGCTATTTTTTGCATGCATGGAACATCAGAAGTGTATTAGGGTTTTCAACACAGCACAAGGGTTAAAAATGCCTCAGTCTTTTGAGTTCATATTTCTAAATGTCATCTTGTTTCTCCTTTACTCAGGGTTCTCAAGTCTCACGCATTGGCCGTGAGACACACGCAATTCAACCAGTTCACACGCTCACACGCCACACCGTGTATATCTCACGCTGAAAAGGCAATGCCAACCGAGTTGTCCTGCAAGCTTTATATATAACGTTGTATACGAGGCGCATGCACACAAAGATAAGTTTCCTGCCGCCAGCGCGTCCGCATCTCGGCCAGATTGCGTTCGTTACTATAGGCAATTTATAGACGCGCGAAGTCCGCGAACACACACGGAAGTTCGGCCACCGCGACATCGCGCGAACACACGTCGTGATGGAGAAAGTAAGTTGGAAGAAAGCTCCCCTAACATTTTTAGACTAGAACATTTAATATATAGCCCATCGAATACATTATTGATGCAGTCAAAAACTCTACAACTACTTTGCAACCAGGCCAAAAGCTTTGGCTCAGTTTGGCTAAGGAAATGTTATTGGGTATGGGAAGGAATGAAGATGTATTTCTTCAGTTTATTTTAAATTCTATATTATACTGTAGTATTTCTAGTTACATTAAGGCTAAAGCAGAGTGCTCTTGGTAATATTGTATATCCTGTCAAAACATACATAGCCTAATCATTGCCATTGCATTTGTATTTTTCAAAGATGTCAGGGAAAAATGCAAAAATATTTGTTTTTCCAAACATTTTGGAGCAATTTGTTATATATTTGTAGCCTAATTTTGAAATATAACATTAAAGAGTAGGCCTATATTTGATGTGATGAATTGCTCTGTCATTTATCAGATTTACCAATTGTTATAATTTCAATTTTTGCTGGTTAATTATGAACAATGGGTAAAATTGGGGGCGGGGATAGGCGGGGGCTGGGCTCCATTAAGGCTCCTCCCCTAACCACATGTGATCTCACTCCAAGCTTTTGATAAAACTTGAGAACCCTGCCTTTACTATTTAATTGTCTTTTCACCAGCCATGAAGAAAGAGTTTAATGATCTTACAGCCAGATACGACACACTTCGAGAACGGCTGTCCTTTTATGATGGTGAGTGTCAGTTTACAAGCTTAGTGTGACACAAAGTGTGAATATTTCTGCACATGAAACCAGTTTAATTAACTTTATGATCTAAATAATGGAAGGTTTAATCACACTTTATTCATCTTTCACAGCTCAGACTTGTGGTATCTCTGTGAATGGCTGGATTGCTTGTCGTGGAAAGCTGTATTTATTCAGCTCTGATAAACTGAACTGGACGAGCAGTCGAGATGTCTGTGTTTCAAAAGGAGCCGATCTGGTGACCATAACCAGCCAATCAGAACAGGCAAGTCTGAACAATTATTAATTAATTGACACTTTATGCAAGCGTTATGAAAATGTGACATACAGCTGATTTGATTTAAGGTTTGATCACACTGTTGAAAGTTTTATTTTAAAGGATTTTTTGTACCTCTAATTTTGCCTACGAAACAATTATTTGCATCACCTGTGTATATTTTCTCCTGTAGGATTTTCTGGTGTCTAAAATTAACAAGACGCACTGGATTGGTCTCAATGATCTGGACACTGAAGGACACTGGGTTTGGGTGAATAACCAAACTCTCACTGACACTGGAGCACAGTAAGAACTCTGCATGTGTGATCTGTTTTAGCTATTTATTTATTTAGCCTTCTCAATGGTGATGGGTATTTCCATCTCAATGGTTCAAAAATGGTAATATTGGTTGCTTGATAAGTTTTTCTTCTTTTTGTGTGATAACCTAATTGTATTGGTGTTAAAAAAACAGGGTTTTTTTTCTTGGTTCAACCATAGAACAAATGCATTATTGCTTGTTTGTGTGTTAAAGGTTCTGGTTCACTGGCGGGCCGAGAGAACCTGATAACTGGAGAGTACAGGATCCGTCTGGAGAGAACTGTGCTAGTCTGGGAGATGGGAATGGCAATTTTCAATCTTGGTTTGATGCTTCTTGTAAAACAGTAAAAAAGTTTATCTGTGAAAAGAAATATTAATTTACCTCCATCAGTGATACTGTTACATGTCAGTTTGTTTTTGGACTTCTTTCTGTTTGTATTTGTTCAGTTTCTCGCCACTCCTTTGTTTCCATGGTCACTGTCATCATTAGTTCAATTGTTTCAGCTGTGTGTAATTAATCATCTCATCTTTTACAACAAGCAATTTTATTCTGTTCTGCCAAGAAGTCACTAATGCAGTTGTCCTCTAAAGCTCTACATCGATTGCTTGTAAAGTCCCTAATGTGTTAGTCGCTTCAATGATAAAAGAGTGTAATAAGTGTGATTTAGTAATGTTATTTTATCTCTGCATTTAGATATTGATTTGATTGTGTGAGACATCTGAAGGGTTGAAAACAGGAAAAGGTATTGTAAAACATTAATGCTGCAGGAATATATCTGTCCATAGTCTTTATACACCATTTTATGCCATGAAATTATGACTTAAATTGTTATGGCTGTCAAAATATATAATAATTCAAAATAAAAACAAAAAAGTTGTGTTTTGTAGTATATACTTATTAACTTTTTCTTATATTGAATATTATAATATTTTGACAGTCCTAACATTTAAGTCATAATTTCTAGGTTATACTCATAGGCCGGAAGGCTGTTCCATAAAACAAGATTTTTTATTTTTTTTTAAAGCCAGGCTTATTTTAGTTAGTCAGACTTTTTGTCAGTTGATTCTATTTCATAAAGCAAACTTAAAATAGTTCAAACTCAGTTACTCTGGCAACTTATGCTGGGAAACAAACCTGGTTCAAATATAGTTACGTATGTTCAATCTACCCCAAACTTCACATGTTTGATAAGAGTTCTGCCCTGAACACATCCCTGCTCAAATTAAGTTAGTCATAACCATCTGCTTGCAACAGGAAGTGACATTTTTAACACTATTGTGGACTCCTAAAAAACATATAAAAAAGTGCCACCAAATATACTAGAATGCTAGCAAACACTTAGCTAAGTGCTAACGCATACTATACATGCAAAAGGAAGTTGTTGTAACTTAAGCATGCAATTTCCAATGTGCTCCAAATTTACAACAAAGTGTCCTAGTCTGAAGACATCTACATTACAAAATATAGTTATAGCGCCACCTACTGGCAACAAGAAGTGACATATTTGACAGTGTGATTTACAGATTTTTTATATTTTTTTTTACAGGGATTTGATATGAAATTCAAAGGAGCTTCTATAAGTGATATGATAATCTAATAATTTAAGACTAAACTTTTGCAATTATTAAACTCTCCCACTTAAGCGCATCCATTAAGAAATGTGTCTGTGATCATGTTATATTGGACTGTATGCAAACTATATTTTCTCTAATAAAGCAAATGTTGACACATCAGAGTCATCTCACTAACTGAAAGGAGCACTTCACCCATTTCAACATTAATCTTTATTGAAAGTGGGTCATATATGTAGTCGAAATGTAAAAGAAATTTTGAATTTGGTGCCCTCTTGACCGAGAAAAGACAGAAAATAACTTTTGGGCGCATTTGTATGTAAGACAACAACTCCCACAATGCACCACATTGCACAGCTCCGCAAGCCACTCCCACTAATCCAGAACAGCAGCGCAAACATCACAAATCACTCTTCCGTCTACAAGGCTAACGTTAGCTGCCACCAGAGTTAGAAATTCATTTCACACAAAATTTATAGTTAGTTGGCTGTGGCGAGCAGGACGAGGGACGTGAGAGAGCGGCGCGAGGCCGGTGGCGTGAGTGATAATGAACGACACCGGTGAGACGCACCGGTCTCTCTCGCGTCTCTCACCGAGGAGCGGACGCATAAAAGGAGGAGCATCTTCCACCATGTATTTTTCCTCGTCCACAGTCGGTGGTGTAGGGAGTCTTGTGATTGGTTTTCAATCCAGCCAATCCGAATTTAGCAGCCTCATCTCTGATTGGCTGGAATTATGGCATATTGTAACGCTGGGTTGTGTTGAGCACGCGAGCCGTCTGCGCTTCGAGAGCGCTTATGGCTGGTATGAGAGGAGCAAGAAAGTGAAACTTTGCACATGCGAAAGAGAACGTCTGCGCACATCCAAATACTTATTTTAAATGCAAAATTGATTTTCGTTCGCTCGAAATATTTTCTTATCTGCGAGACGAACATTTCTCCTCAAAACTCAGTTCACGCGCGTGCGAAATGTCATTTTGCGCGCTCAAAATGTGATCTTGCGTGCGCAGAATTGTGAATGAATTCTTACCCCATACCCCCGCCCAAATCTGCAGGCTGCAGCCAGGTGCTTCTCGAATTAACAGTTTAGTTTCTTCAGGTTTAGTCCCACCCACTGATCTGTAATAGGCCGGTGGGGTGAGTGGGTCCCACGCCCTTGAATAATAATGAGCTAAAGGCTGTAGTTTTCTTAATATGCAATTAAATTTATCTTCCGTCCTATCGTGACGCAAAATGACGATATTTACGTCACGATGGGACGGAAGTAAAACACTTAAATCCTTTTTTCTCCCATCTCAGAAAAAAAAACAAGCAAAATTCCACCATCATTATAATATATGACTGGGTTTCTAACAAAATACAAACCTTAATGCAAATGGGTGAAGTGACCCTTGAAGGGAAAGAGGAGTATTGGTGTGTAGTGTTGAAAGTACAGGTCCAAAAAAGGCTTGCATAATCTCAAGGGTTCACATAAATTCACATTAGCTTTTTCTTGAACATTCAAATCTTGGCATCAGATAAAAGCTTGGCATTTGCTCAGTCACAATACACACATCTGTCACTGAAAATCAGGTGTTTTATGTCCCCACAATGGTGTAGTTAGTAAGCATGCCATAATTATTATTATCTTTTTCTTTCTTTTTTTACATTCGCTAGGACACACGTTTCCTCAAAACTCTTCACACAGTGCACACAACATCAATCTATGTGAGCTAAACTAAAGATTATTTATCATTATTTATACATTTTTCAAATTAGCCAGAATATATTTATTCTCTATTCTCCACTAGATGTCACTATTGCAGCAACCTCTACCTTTAACAGTCAATCATTGCGAATTAATCATTTCATCTTTATCCTCCAATTTTTACTATATGCAAAGCAACATGCAGTAAGACAAAGAGAGTCAACTTTCTCTCTCCAAACTTCTCATTGGCTCGCTCACGTCCTGAGGGAGTGGCATCCTCACGCTTTAAAAGATCACTAGTACAGGGAGGATAGTTTGGGAGAGTTAGATGACATGCATATGATTATCCTCAACTAGAAGAAGTCCTTGACAGACCCGTTTACATTTATTAAAGACCCTCTGCATCAAACCTGTTCTCGTTCATCAATACAACTTCAGCAAAGATCAACTGCAGCCTCAACACATCAGGACACTCTTTTTCACACAGGCAGGACATGCAAGTATCAAGCTTAATCATTCTTAATCCTGCTCTAAGTATCACCTAGCCCTTGTCTGAAGTGTGTTAACTAAGATATTGATTGTAGAGTTCTCAACGGGTCGGGTCGGCCCGACAAACCCGACGGGACCCGCGGGTTCGGGGCGGGTTCGGGCCGGGTTCGGGTCGAAAATATTTGCAAATGACTCGGGTCGGGTCGGACCTCGGGCTTAATCTTTTGAATTGTACAGTGAAAGAAAAACAAAACATTTATTATTCATCGCTGCTGTTCACTGTAAAGAAAGTCTGGCTGCTGCGTGCAACGTGCATCGCGACGCGAGGGCAGACCTGACGCCGCTGCGTGCACGCCTTTAGCCCGGAGAAGATGGAGTTGGTGAAAAGTAAACTTGCTGCAGGTGAAATCACCGTCGCTCAGGGGCGGCGCGACACGTTGTGTGATTATCTCGGCAGTTTAGGACATCGCACAAGATTTGCGTCAATACAGAAAACATTTAATCACTGGATAGTTTTTTTCGTTTATTGAAATGTGGTTTATGTCAGCTGGATGGGCGGAATGTGTGAGACGTGAGAGTGCGCGCGCGCGCGGCCGGGGCTCTCTCTCTCTGCGTCAAGCGCAGCAGTCATTCTACATACATCACTCACCGATCAAGGGTGGCGTCGGGCCGCTGGTCGGGTTCGGGCAGATAATTCATGTTGATGTGTCGGGTTACATCGGGTCCGGGCTTTAAAAGCCACGGGCCGGGTCGGGTTGTAATTTTCAGGCCCGTTGAGAACTCTAATTGATTGTTCTGTCAAACTACTGATCTGCTGGAAACAAACAGAATGTTGCTGCATCTTTTCACTTTTCTAACTTAAGTAGGCTACCTCACTAACCTGACTCGGCCAGATGGATTTGCTCCGCATATCCATCTGGAAACCTTCCGTTGAAGTAGTTTTGGTAAGGGGCGAAAATACTGGTTAGCTGATTGGCCTATGTTGGTGATAGACGGGCCAAATCAACCAATCAGATCAACGAAGCATATGACGTATCTTTTCCTCTGAGAAAAGCCTCCAGAGCAGTGTTTTGCTCTTCTTTCAGTGAAGAAATACTCTGTAATTCCGATAAAACTTGCTCGATAGCCACGCTGATGCTAGTTTCATCCGCTGAAGCCGACATGTTCTTTAGACTGAACTGTCGCGCTTCTCGTTGCGTCACACCTCAACCCGCCTCAAAGCCAACGCTGATTGGACGCTCGTTTGGTGAACTGCTCCCAAATTTTCTTTAACGGAAAGTATCCAGACTGATCTGCGAGTGAAACCTTGAAAGCTCGCGAGATCAGGATGGTCTCACGAGGCTACTACCTCACATGTACCTTGTGAAGATTTTATTATTGATTGCATTTTATGTTGCAGCGAGTAAAGGTGCGGTCACATTTGTGAATTTTGTGAAATACACAGGCAAAAAAGTCCATTGACCATTGTCAGCAGTGTAGCGACGAGCACAGCTCACACAGGAGTCACTTCCAAGCAGCTTTCTGTTGGTCAAACCCAGCGAATTCCAGTGACCAACTTGGTCCCATAGTGACATTTTTGACCACACACAAAATTGCTGATCGTGTGGATTCTTATTGAAATGGCTGAAAATTCACAGAACAACAGATAATTTTACAGCACCTTAATCTATCTTGTTTCTAGTGAGAATACTCAACCATTTATGAGCACTGTTGATTCAAGTCACACACTTAAGCTT